CACACAAGTTGTTGTTCAGTCAGTCGCGTCCAACTCTTTGCAACCCTCTGAACCATAGCCCACCAGGCTCCTCTGTCCATGGGATTTCCGAGGCAAGAATACTGGAATGGGTTACCATTTCCTCCTTGTTTTAGGGGATCTTCCCCACCCAGGTATTGAACCTGTGTCTCCTGCATTGTCAGGCAGATTCTTTACCACTGAGCCACCAGGAAAGTCCACAAGACTGCCCCCAAATTTGACACCAATTAAGTCCAAGGTTTCCATCTGTAGTCTAACATCCAGGTATAAACTGGGGTTCCCACTCCTTGTATTTTATAATTTTCTAGGATGGCTCATAGAACTCAGGGAAGCACTTGTATTTATTGACTCCTTATAAAGGGTAAAAATGAACAGCCAAACAGGGACCGGTGGGGAGGAGGATGTGAGAGCCTCTGAGCACATCGCCCTCCCACCTCCACGTGTTCACCAATCCCAAAGCTGGAATAGAGGTTCTGTTAGGGAGTCGTCATTGAGTAAATCTTTGGCTGCTGGGAATTAAGTCAATCTCCAGGCCCTGTCCCTTGCCTGGAGGTTGGGGAGTTGGGACTGGGAATCCCAAACCTTTAATCACGTGGTTGGTTCCTCTGACAACCAGCTGCCATCCTGAGGCTGGCTGAGGGGAACCACTAAGAGTCACCTCATTAGAATAAACTTGGGTTGAAAGGGGCTCGTTCTGTAACACAAAAGCTGCTCCTCTCACCCTGATCACTCAGGAAGTCCCAAGGATTTAAAATAAAAGTCTGGTGCCAGAAGCTGGGAACAAAAACCAAATATATATTTCCTGTTAGGTGGCTCAGTGGAGACATGAGTTCAATCCCTGGGTGGGAAAGATCCCCTGGAGAAGGAAATGACAATCCACTTCAGTACTCTTGCCTGGAGAATCCCATGAACAGAGGAGCCTGGTGGGCTACAGTGCATGGGGTTGCAATGAGTTGGACACGACCTATTGAACACATATCACAATATCACAGCTTAACAGAAGACCACAGTATTCTCCTATCCATTCCTGTACTCAGCTTACTGTGATAACACATGCCGCGTAGTCTCTGGAGAACTCTACCATGCACTCATGAGAGAATGAGAAGGAAAAAAGGTGAATCATACCTTTCTATTATTATGAAGATAGTTTTTATCTCACAGACACCCCCCGAGGGTCTCAGGGTCCCCCAGGAGTGACCAGACCACACTCCCTGGAGAAATGGGCAGCGAAGGAGTCAGTGCCAAGAATTACAATCTAAGGTTCTGAGATCCTTTGTCTTGATCTTTATGGTATTTCACCTAGAATTTTACCCTCCAATAAACAGTTTAAATATCAGCTAACTTTGTAAAAGTTTTCAAAAATTAAATAAAATCTTAATTTACCTTTGAGACTCCAAGGTAAATATAACTACTACGACCCTTTCGAGTCAGACCTCCATGAAGGTCCTCCTGCTCAGTTTTTTTGGAGCCAATAGAAAGAGATCGATTTGGGTTCAGAAGCAAAGGCAAGCGTTGTTCTCTGCACAAAGTATGGGGAGGTGGGTGCTCCCTCTTGAGCATGTGCTTCCCTGAAGGTGGTGGGCGGGGCTGCTTCTTCAGGGGTTCCCTACCTTTTTAGCACCAGGGACCAACTTTGTGGAAGACAGTGTTTCCAGGAACATGGGTGAAGGGAGTGGAGATACAGTTTCACGATGATTCAAGTGAATTACATTTATTGTGCATTTTGCTTCTAATGTGACTCAGCTGGTAAAGAACCCGCCTGCATTGTGGAAGACCTGGGTTTGATCCCTAGGTTGGGAAGATCCTCTGGAGGAGGGAAGGGCTACCCACTCCAGTATTCTTGGGCTTCCCTTGTGGCTTAGCTGGTAAAGAATCTGCCTGCAATGTGGGAGACCTGAGTTCCATCCCTGGATTGAGAAAATCCCCTGGAGAAGGGAAAGGCTACCCACGCCAGTATTCTGGCCTGGAGAATTCCATGGACTATATAGTCCATGAGATTGCAAAGAGTTGGACACGACTGAGTGACTTTCACTTTCACTTTGCTTCTAATCTGATGCTGCCACTGATCTGATAGTTTGGTACCAGTCCCCAGCCTAGAGGTTGGGGACCCCTGTGTAGGATCTCATGGGCTGTGGCGGTATTCTCTCCAGGCAGCCTGAGGTCACAGAGTAGGACCTCATCTCTACACACAGTTCACTGCTGCCATCTTGAATCAGGTGTCCCACGAGGCCACTTCTGAACATTGCCCCTGGAGCTGAGGTGCTGGCTGCAGCCATTTCACACCAAGATCTCTGGACTGAAGACCCAGGTGTGCGGCCTCTGCACGTGGCCCTCTTTGAGCAAGAGAGACTAGATTCCGCACAGAGGAAAAGAAAGGTTAGGCTTTATTTTGTTACCCAGTTTCTATGTTTATTTCCTGGGAATTTTTTGTGTGCTTTGCCAGTGATGTAACAGCTCTCAGCTTCTCCAGATAGCATCGTAGACTCAGTGGACGTGATCTGAGCAGACTCCGGGAGATAGTGGAGGATAGGGAGGCCTGATGCGGTGCAGTCCCTGGGGTAGCAGAGTCGGACACGACTTCACAACTGAACAGCCTCCACAGAACCGATCTGCTCCTCCACTCCCGGCCTCTCCTTCCCGGGTGTTGCCCTTCAAGGTCATAAATGGGAACTTTTCTCCATACCAGAGCTTCTCAGCACGTGGTCTGGTCACCCTGAGGACCCTGAGACCCTTGGAGGGCATCTGTGAGATGAAGTCATTTTCATGGCAGTGGGAAGACCTTGCCACCTTTCCTGTTGGTCTTGAGATGATGGTTGCTTAGGCACAGAATCCTCCATTTGTATCCCACTTGTCCCTAGAAGGGCCCTGGCTAAGCCCCTAGCATCTCTCACATGGTGCTCCCACCTGTTCTCTCGGCTCCCCCCAACCCTTCCCCTTCCCCCAAGTCCATTCTCAAGGGAACAGCCAGAGCGATCCTTTCAACACCTGACACCACCAGTTTTCTGCTGAAAATGACCTGGTGCTGACTCCTTTCACGCAGAGTCAAAGCTGATGGCTTAAGGTGCCCTTAAGGTCTTACTTGACGCGCCCTGACTTTTCCCTCTGTGATCCCCTGGCTCCCAACTCTCTCCCCAGCACAGAGACTTCGCTCTGTTCCTGGAACACCCAGACCTGCTTGTGCCTCAGGGCCTCTGTCCTGGAGGTTTCGTCTTCTCCTTGATCATTTCACCCTTGCCTTTCCCAGGCTTCGCTGAGATGTCACCTCTGGCTGCGTCTTACACTGACCACCCTGTTTAAAATAGTGCATGCTATTTCCTATGCTGGAATGCCTGTTACCCTCTTCATATGCTCTACCTTATATACCTATAATATAGGCTTCCCATAGGCTTCCCAGGTGGTGCTAGTGGTAAAGAACCTGCCTGTCAATGCAAGAGGCATAAGAGATGATAGTTCAATCCCTGGGTCGGGAAGCTCATGTCGAGGATGAAATGGCAGCCCACTCCAGTATTCTTGCCTGGAGAATCCCACAGACAGAGGAGCCTGGTAGGCTACAGTCTGTAAGTTCACAGAGTCAGACATGACTGAAGCAACTTCACACACATGCATGCATGTATATATGAATATATAATTATATATATCTGGCTGTACGGAGTATTAGTTGCAGCAGGTTGAATCTTGAGTTGTAGCACATGAGATCTAGTTTCCTGACTGGGGGTTGAACCTGGGCCCCCTGTGTTGGGAGCGCAGAGTCTTAGCCACTGGACCACCAGGGAAGTCCCAATGCTCTACATTTTCTTTTCCACACCCCTCACTCCAGCACTTACACACTTCTCTCTATTTAGCTATTTGTGTGTTGTTTATTGTCTGTCTCACTCCATTAGCATGTCAGTGTCACAGGTCAGAGATTTCTGGCAGCTTTCTTTCACTGTTGTATCCTAAAAACCTAGAATGGCATGTAGTGGACACCAAATAAATATTTACTAAGTGAATGACTGCAGGTATACGCAAATGTCTTAAAAAAAAAAAACTAGGATGCTTGGAATATTTGAGGTTGTGATTTAACTAAGACTAATCATCAAGAATTTGTTGAGTGAATTAGTAATCAGAACGCTTTCCTCTGCAAGCAACAACAACTCAAGTAAAAGCTTAAACAAGAAAGGAAAGAAGAAATGTGTTCTCTTATAGGGTAAGCTTCAGGCATGGCTGGATCCAGGAGTTCAAATGAAATCATTGGGATTCTGTTTCTTTGCTTCCTCCTTTGGTATCCACTTCATTCTCAGGCAGCTTTTTCCTTTATGCTGATAATAATGCCACAGGCATCTTTAAGCTTTTGTTATCTGTCATCCCACTAGAAGAAAGGTGCGATTGTCTTTATTTGGTTCTTCTGCTCCCAAGCTCTCTTATTGATGCAGTGAGGGAATATGTATATACATCTGTATTTATTTCTGTGTCTGGTTCAATAATTGAAAACTACCTGTTCGCTTTGCTCCATACAATTCCAACCCAACAGCACAGGATTTATTTTATTTTTATGCTCTTATTTTTTTTAATTTTTGGCTGTACAATATGTGGGATCTTAGTTCCCCAATCAGGGATCAAATCCCCTGCAGTGGAAGCCTGGAGCCTTAACCACCGGACCGGCCAGGGAAGTCCCACCACAGAGTTCATTTTAGCTTTCTCCTTTTCCTCTTCTTTGACGGTGAAGCCAGGCCCCCATTTCTGTAATTGATTTACTTATCTGATCCCTGCTCCTGTGTGTGACCCATTCCCCTTTTCCCTCCATGGCTGAGCCTCCCCTCACGGGATGGCCTCCTCACCTGCTCAGAAGGACTCTGGCTACTGAGCTTCCCTCCCGTTCCTGCACAGATACTGGCCCTCGCTCTGACCCCCTCAAAGGCTTTAAGACTGAATTGTTCAGGGTGGGAAGAGGAGAGGAGGGGAGAGGAAGCAGGGTGTCATTATCCGAATTTATGCCAAGTTACCCCAAGACCCCCAGGGTCCCCAGGGCCCTCTTCGGGCCCCCGGGCTGTCCCCGATTTCCAGGACATGAATGCCCACGAGGCTCCAAGGTCACTGTGGCGACTTGCAGCTGCCCTTCGCCAGCCATGGCCCGGGCTCCTCCCGCTTCCCTGGCATGTTTTCCTCCTGGGCTTGTCCCTTCCCTTGTGTTGGAAAGATGGAGTCCTAGCCCTCCAGCGCGGGCTCGGTGCTACCCCGTCCACGTGACTAGAAGGGCTCCGAGTTCACCCCCTAGAGTGGGAATCACGAGTGAGTGGCATCCCCCTGCTGGGTGGCCATCCTGAGGCCAACCAAGGCTCACACGGCCCTCACCTCTGCACCCCCGCAGCAGGCACCTCCCCTGGCCTGTGCAGCACCGGTGACTTATGGGAGCAGCTGAGATGAGGAGGTGCAGCTAGCATCCCTCACGGCTTATGTTGTACAGGCTGTCAGAACTAATGAAATTTTATGACAGACGGGCAGCGACCAGCTTCCTGGTGTTATTTATCTTTCTCGCTTCTGGCTTGGAGCGCTGGGTGATTTTTCATTTATAGTTAAGGACGCCAGGATGACTAAGCACAACTTGCCTACTCAGAAAACTAGCAAATTGTATCAATGCACAAACGTAATTAATAATCATCTGGCGTGAGAAATGGGGAGCAGTTAAATAGGATAGTCTAGCTTCTCTGTTGCCCTCCCCCCTCCTGTCGCCATGTCCACCAGCTTTTAAAATGCCAGGGACATCAGGGGTTTATCCTCTGCTAGTATCTGGTATTCGCAATATGGACAGTGAAAAAAGGTTCTTACAAGTGGTGACGTGGGCTCCCTTGGCTCAATAGATTTATTTGTAGCAGCCTTAGAGTGATGATGCAAATAGATGTAATACAAAGGGGTATGTGTGCAGTTGCTAAGTTGTGTCTAACTCTTAGCTACCCCATGGACTATAAAGCCTGTCAGCCTCCTCTGTCCATGGAATTTTCCAGGCAAGAATACTGGAGTGGGTTGCCATTTCCTTCTCCATGGGATCCTGCTGACCCAGGATTGAATCTGCATCTCCTGTACATGCAGGCAGATTCTTTACCACTGTGCCACCTGGGAAGCTATACGTGGAGGTGGGGGTGGATTGAAAAATAGAAAATTTCACATAAGAAGGGATGGAGGTCCCAGGAGACAGGTTAATCCTAGAGCAAAAAGACTCAAGATTGTGAGACTGTGTTTATACAACCAAGAGAAATCCACAGAACCAATTAATCACAGTGACCTGAACCTGAGAGATGTATATACTCTGAAAAATTCTTTTGTAAACATGCCAGTTCTCTTATCTCCTTATTCCTGCTGTGTTATCTGAGTTTCCGTCCACATTTGCCTGTCCCCACCTGCTGTTGTCCCATCCCCAGCCTCTGCAGTTCCTTGCTCCCCACAAATCACTTCCAGGGCACTCTCTGGTGATACCTCGAATATGCTCCCTAACATATGGTTAGGTCTAATGTAACATTTGCATAATTTTTTCTTTTCTGCTGCTCTCATGAGGTTCTGGTGAGCTGCGTCCTTAAGGCAGCCCAAACCGGTCAGTCCTAAAATCAACCCTGAATATTCATTGGAAGGGCTGATGCTGAAGCTGAAGCTCCAATACTTTGGCCACCTGATGCGAAGAACTGACTCACTGGAAAAGACCCTGATGCTGGGAAAGACTGAGGGCAGGAGGAGAAGGGGGTGGCAGAGGACGAGTTGGTTGGATGGCATCACCAACTCAATGGACATGAATTTGAGCAAGCTCTGGGAGATAGTGAAGGACGAGGAAGCCTGGAGTGCTGCAGTCCATGGGATCACAAAGAGTCGAACTCCACTTAGTGATTGAACAAGAACAACGATCCTCAAGGCACCAGAGCATCAGCCGTGTGTCTCTCCTTGGGAGCCATTCAGAAGCTGGAGAATGCTTTCTCTTCACCCACAGTGTTTTCCCAGGGATTTTTAATTTGTGCTGTTTGTGTTCCAGCACCTTCTAGATTTTTTTAGTAAACAGCTTTGGGGTGGGCAAGGAGGCAACCCTGAAAGACCAACATTGTGCTCTTCTCAAAACCCGAGCCCCAGCGCTGTGACTGAGGCTTTGTGAGGAGCCGCTCACCTCTCTCAGGGCCAGCTCCTTCCAGAGGGCTCTTCAGGGCTTTGTGCACCTTGGCCGAGGGAGGCCGGGCATGCCCAGACCTGCCTGGCTCACGGAAATGGGGAGTGTACTTAGGTGGCACATCTTGATTAGAAGGGAAGCAGCGGGGCCAGAAAGCAAGTCAGACACCAGACTTGCCCTCGAGGACTTTATTATGAGAAGAGGAACATAGTCAATACACAGTACATGTAGTCATGTACGAATGCGAGAGTTGGACCATAAAGAAGGCTGATGCTTTCAAATTGTGGTGTTGGAAAAGACTCTTGAGAGTCCCTTGGACTGCAAGGAAATCAAACCAGTCAATTCTAAAGGAAATCAGTCCTGAATATTCATTGGAAGGACTGATGCTGAAGCTCCAATACTTTGGCCACCTGATGCAAAGAGCTGACTCACTGGAAAAGACCCTGATGCTGAGAAAGAATGAGGGAGGGAGGAGAAGGGATGACAGAGGACAAGATGGTTGGATGGCATCACTGACTCCATGGACATGAATTTGAGCAAACTCTGGGAGACAGTAGAAGACAGAGGAGCCTGGCATGCTATAGAACATGGGGTCGCAGACATGACTTAGCAACTGAACAACAACAATCCAACCCAGTGAGAAATTTCCTGTGAAAGTGGATCCATAATCCCACTAAGTCCTCTAAAAAGAGAGACTAATGAGAAATCAACTCTAGAGAAAAACAAACTGAGAGGTAATGATCATGCAGGGACACTGGGTCTTCCGCCCAGGATCCCACACTGCTGAATAATAAAAGTCACAAAGTCCATAATAGAAATTGCTTCATCCAGAAGCTTCTGGAATGTCCATGCATCCGTAACTGGGACATCAGTAACAGCCTTGTTGCTCTTGGTTGTCCTCGCTGATAACAGCTGCTTATGAAGTGTCTGTTTTCTGAGAACTTGGACTCTGTCCTGGTCTGTTTTACATCTGGGAATGAGGTGGTAGTATGTTGTTTTTCTCTTGGGTTGCTGGGGAAGAGAGGTGGGGAGGTACTGGCTTGCCAATGTCCTATTTGTCTTTCTGTTTGTTGTTGCAACTGACCTCATTAGATTGGGCAAGAGCTGCCAACATTTATAACTTCGGCTTTTCTAATTAAAGTTCCAGTGAAAGGCAACCCCTCGCCTCTGACTCTCGGCAGGAATGCGCTCTCGTAATGCAGGCATCTGCCCCCTGGGCTAACCTTTCCTGAAACCAGATAAACAAAGTAATACTAATAAAAATATCCATCTGTGCTTAAAGATAAATAGAGCATTAATATACCAATCTGAGATCTGGATTCTTTTGGAGCCAGCTTTAATGATATTAGACATCTGTTACAACTCGCTTTCCACTCATTTTCCGTTTGCACATTCTTACTTGAAAACAATGGGAAAGGAGTTTGTCTGCAGAAGACGGGGTGCCACCAGACCACTATGCCCTTAGTGTGTGCTCATTGCTCAGTTGTGTCTGACACTTTGCAACTCCAGGGACTGTAGCCCACCAGGCTCCTCTGTCCATGGGGTTCCCCAGGGAAAAATACTGGAGTGGGTTGCCATTTCCTTCTCCAGGGGATCTTCCCGACCCATGAATCAAACCTGTGTCTCTTGCATCTCCTGTATTGGCAGGCAGGCTCTTTACTATTAGGGCTACCTTCCCCCATAGAGGGTGAAACAAAAGTATAAGCCAAAGATGTGCCTTAACATTTTCCCCCCTTCTTGAATTTCACCAAAGATTTTAGGCATGGTGGTCTTTTTCCAATTTTATTTTTGGATACCAGAACACCAATTTTATTCATTGTCGACAGTCTGTAGAGTTGTGGGTAGACCAGATGTACAGATGTTGGCATGCTCATGACAGTCCTTTTCTTTCTGGAGTCAAGATGTGAAAATATCTGAAGCCATTTGTTTACTAGGACACCAGCAGTGTCTCAGCCTGGAAAGTCGGGAGGACAATGGTTTCTCCTAAGGAGAACCGTACCTGGATGGTAGAAACCAGCCTCTCAGGGTTCCTTTAGCATTTTTCACACTCAAGAAGAATTGTAGGCGAGGTGCTACTGTAAGCAGCTTTCTCCTCCAAAGGGCAGACCTACTGACCTGAGCTTCTCAGATGTAGTAGTGCTAGTTGCTGGGTGAAGGGGCAAGGGGATATGAGCAAGTCAGCGTGGGTGGGGGCCAAGATGACTGGGGGAGTTAACAATTGCTACAGCGGGGCTTTTCCTGGTGGCTCATTGGTAAAGAATATGCCTGCCAGTGCAGGAGACACGGGTTCAATCCCTGATTCGGGAAGATCCCACATGCTGCAGAACAGCTAGGCCCATGCACCACAACTATCAAGCCTGTGCTCTAGGGCCTGGGAGGGACAACTACTGAAGCCCTCACGCCCCAGAGATGCTCCACAACAAGAGAAACCACCAAAGTGAGAAGTCTGCACACGGCAACTAAAGAGCAGCTCCTGCTCACCACAGCTAGAGAAAGCTGAAGCCACAATGAAGACCCAGCACAGCCAAAAATAAATAAGTAATTTTTTTTTAATTGCTACCATGATAAGGCTGGGCTGCCTCTGACTTTCAGTGCCTGAAGATGAAGGATGCTCAAACACATTGGCATGAGGGGCAGCCATCGGCAAGACTGGCCAGCCCCAAGTGCTGATGACACAGGATTGAGAGGCAGCTACATTTTCAAGTAGTGAAAGCATTTATTTCAAACAAAAATTTTACATAGAATCCCAATATGTAAAATTAAGGAGAGCTATTTTTTTCTTGAAAAGCAAGAAGTCCATGAAACATTTTTGTGGGGGAACAGTTTAACAACCACTATTCTAGGGATTTCACTGGCAGTTGTGTGTTTAAGAATCCTTGCTCTCATTGCAGGGGACATGGGATCCATCCCTGGTCAGGGGGCTAAGATCCCGTATGCCATGAGGTATAGCCAAAAAAATAAAAAATGAGAAACAGAGAGAAAAA